AACTTAGTGATTAAGGGTGCCGAATCCCAGATGGCCAATTGCTGATTCTTGGCCCTAGCAGTTTGAAAAATACACTGAGCACATGTGTGTACGTACTCCAAATCCTTACAGGATTGAGGAATGGAGGAGGGATAGTGGCAGGACCATACCCAATAAAGAGTGCTTTCTTCCCCTACCCTGTCTCACTATCTCTCTCTCTAGTGAACACAAGCACCTCTCTGACAATTAATTCTTTTGATTTAGTCATTATATTTTCTATGATCATTTCTTTTCTTTTATCCATGTTTTGCTAGAAAATAGTTTATTTATCCCTCCTTAGGACCTTCACTGTGAAATAGGTTTACATATCTAAGTATTTACAGATGAAATAAAATGGTGTCTGGGATTTGGTTCAAAATAATCCAGTGGTTGTGGTAGGAGTATCACTGAAACAAGATTGGGTAAATACTGTTGTCGAAGTTGGATGATAGGTATATAAAAGTTGATCATATTATTCTATATTTTATGTTTGAACTTTCCTATTAAAAATATTTAGAAAATAAAATGAATAGACATTTATGAAATCCTGGGAATTATTGAGATTATTAGAAATCTTGGACTTTGTGAATTCCTGGACCAGATATGCCTTCATTCAGCAAACATTTTTTGAGACTCTTAGGATTTTTCCATATCTCGGCTATAGTGGATAATGTTGTAATGAACTCAGGAGTGCAGATTCCTCTTTAAGATACTGATTTCATTTCCTTTGGATATATGTCCAGAAGAGGATTGCTATATCATATGGTAATTTAATTTTTATTTATCAGGAACTTCCATACTGGTTTCCATATTGGCTATACCAGTTTAAATTCTCACCAGTAGTATACTAGTTTTCTTTCTTCTTGTTCTTGCCAATAATTTTGGCTTTTTTTTTTTTTTTTTTAAGATAAGTCTTGCAATTGTGAGCCTCTCAGTTGGGACCAAAGGTATGTGCCATCATGCGTGGCTCATTTTTAGGCAGAGTCTCACTTTGTTGCCCAGGCAAGCCTCAAGTTTGCAATCCTTCTGTCTCAGCCTTCGAAGTTGCTGGGGTTATAGGCACATACTACTACACCTGGCCTTTAGGTTGGACCAGGAATCAAACCATGGCCCTCCCATGTGACTTCAGTGTGTGGAACTTTGTCTTAGTATGCACCACTGTGGCTAGACCCTCTCTTTAGTCTTTTTAATATTCATGTTTCTCACAAGCGTGAGGGACTATTTCATTATAGTTTTGGTTTTCTGATTAATGACTTTGAGTCCATTTCCATATAATAATGTCAATTTTTAAGTCTTCTTTGGAAAAATGTCTATCCAGATCATTTGCCTCTTTTAACCAGGTTGTTAATTTTTGTTATGCAGTTGTTTGAGTTCCTAATATTTTTTATATTAATTTCTTACCAGATGTATGATTTGTAAATATTTTCTCCCATTTTATAGGTTGTCTCTTCATTATGTTGATTCATTTAGTGTGGGGAATTTTAGTTTGATGCAGTCCTACTTGTTTATTGTTGCTTTTGTTATCTGTACTTTTTGGGGTTATTCTAATTAAAAACACTCCAAATGTTTTATCACAAAATGTAATGTTTGTGTAGTCTCTGTTAGTTTCTCTTACTCACTTAAAGAAATGTCCGTTTCTCACTGAAATTTTTTTTTCCTTTTTATATTCAGACTTAAACACATCAGATACTTTGTTTTTAAAATCAGGAATGAATGCTGAATATGCAGAAAAATGATTGTGTTTTTGTCCTCTTTAATCTTTTGACAGTGAGTTACATTACTACATTTTCTACTATTGAATCATCCTCACATTCTTTCTTTTTTTCCTTTTTAATTGCCAGAATGCATATACAGTCACCAGAAAGAGAGAGAGAGAGAGAGAAATAAAGAAAGGCCCCCTTAGTAGGGCATGGTCATGCTGCAATCCCTTCTCCCATATTTCTCTATCCTGTCAGAATTTAAGGCACACGTGTACATGCACCCAGTGTGTTTTGCAAGCCTTCATGTCTGGAATTTGAACCACAATTAGCCATGTGGAATCTAGCTCCTTTAACTCCTAGGCTACAGGACAGGTCTGTCCTCCTTTCTTAAGGTAAATTCTGGATGGATTTTTCTACTAATTATTGTTTCACATTTCTTGTTTCTTCATGTATTTGTGGCTTTTTTTTAATCAGATGCTTGGACATTGTGGTTGTCATGTTTTTGAATACTTGGATTTATCTTCTTTTAAAGAGTGTTGAGTTTTGTCTTTGTTTGCAATTAAGTTACCATGGGTCAGCTTCATCCTTTTGAGATTTGTTTCTGAGTTTCGTACTCTAGACCCGAACTTACTAAAACTCAGAAAAAAAAAGTTTAACCCTTTTGGGGTTTCCATTGAATGCCCCAAATGCTCACTGAGCTTTCTCTTCTTAGGCTGCTTGAAATTTGAATAAATCCCAGCCTTGTGAAAGCTCTGGAATTTTTCAGTCTACAACACCTCCAAGTACATTCAACAAGAGAATCAAGGATATCCTATTGAGTGAGCTGTTTGTTTGCTTGATTGGTGTCTTTCTTTCTTTTGTTTCTTGCCATAAAGCATGTGTGTTCACTGGAAAGAAAGACAGAGACAGAGAGAGGGAAGGTGATCTCTCGCCCCCTGAAGGAACTGCCACCCTGCAGTCCCTTCTCATTTCTGGATTTTGGGCACACATACAATTGCCCAGGGTTATTTTAAAACTGCTGGATCTGGGACTCGAATCATGATCAGCCATATGGGAGTCTAGTGCCTTAACTATCACACCACATCCTGGCCCCACATTATGGAGCTCTTTTTCTGTGTAGCTTTCTCTTCTCTAATACTCTGCCTTGCTAACTCTGTCCCCTTTGAGCTTACAAACTTTGAGCTTTGACTTGGGATCACAGTTACCTCCTCTTTTATTTCTAATGCTATATTTTATTTCTAATGCTATATTTGTTTCATTTCTTTAATAGATTTAGTAGAGTTTTGTCTAATTTCCCTAAATTCCTCTTTTACTTTTTATGTCTACTTTGTTCCTTTTGCAAATGTCTTCATTGAATTGCATCTTTAGTATTTTTTTATTCTATTTTTAGTATAAGGCACTGTCCCACCCCTGTTCTTATTACAACTTAATACTTTCTTTCTCTGGGAGATCTTATGGGAAGAAAGGCTTATAACTACTTTATAGTCTTATGTTCCCTCTCTTCTGGATTACAGTTTTAGTCCTCTAGTTTTGCTGTTTATCTGGTCAAATAATACATGAGTACAAAGTTTAACACTCAGATAAAGGCTGTCTTCATCACCAGATCCAATTCCAAACCTCCAGATAGATTAAACATAGCTATCAGTTTAATGTATACTATTCCAACTCTTTTCTGTGTTTTTATTTATAATCTGTATTATTAGAAACATGAAGTATATAATGTATACTTTTCTATGTGTGTGTGTCTGTGTGTGTTTTGATACTAAATGTTATTATACTGTATTTATTCTTATCCTCCTCTTTTCATTCAGCAGAATTTTTTTTAAGAGGTTTTTGCTTTAGGGTATATGAACTCACCAAAGGAAGAGAGAGAGAGAGAGAGAGAGAGACAGTGAGAGAGAAAATAAGGAATCCCCCCTGGGGTTGGGGGATGGTCACACTGCAATTTCTTTTCCTCCTTTCTCCTCCTGGTATCTTGGGCATGCATGCACATGCACCTGGCATGAGTTTCAAACCACCAGGTCTAGGACTCAAACCACGGTTGGCCCTGTGGGTGTCCAGCGATGAAACTGCTACACCATCTGCTGGCCCCCATTCAGTAGTATGTTTTAGAGATATTTTCATATCACTACGTGTAGATCCATAAAATAGAACTTTTTGATAATTGCAAAATATTTCAGTGTGTATATGGGTTATATACATACTTTGTATGTATTTAACCATCTCCGTATTAGTGAGATTTAGGCATTTCCAAAATGTTTATTCTCTTATTAGCATTGCTGCTATAAGATATTCTTGTACATTTTCCCTTATGTTCCTCTGTTAATATTACTTTATAAGAAAGGGGATTAAATGGGTCACAGAGTAGGCATGTTTTCAAGAATGTTGCCAATTTATTCTCTATAATATATATACAGCAATATAAAGCCCTTCCAGCAGTACCCATTTTCCTGTATCATTGGCGCACTTTCACTGTTATTTTGCTGAACTGATAAATGAACCGCAGTAACTCTTTTTCTCTTTGGATTATACCTTCTGAAAATTCTTAAAAATTCCTGATGTGCCGTTGGTATGTTTCTGTGCTGTAAGGAATGTTTCTCTATGTACTTTTTTTTTTTTTTGAGAGGTTTTCGCTATAGGGCGCGTGCACTCACCAGACAGACAGAGACATAGAGACAGAAAGCGAGAAATCACCCCCTGGGGGGATGGTCACGCCGCAATCCCTTCTCCTCCATTCTCCTCTCGGGATCTTGGGCACGCACGCACACGTGCCCGGCGTGAGATTTAAGCCACCGGGTCCGAGACGCGAACCGCGGTCGACTACGTGGGAGTCCAGCGACATAGCCATTACGCTAACTGCTGGTTCCCTCTATGTACTTTTAAGAAATTTCTTCTGTATGTATTTTTGCTATCATTTAAAAATAATTTTAGAAGAAATGGGAGGCAAACATATATCCTTATCCTTTCTCCTGAGTTGTCATGGCTTCTGGATTATTGGCCATGTGTAATTACTAACTTCTCTTGCACACTCACCTCTCAAGTCCCCTAAATCAAATCTGTAGTATAGCATAAATCCTAACTGTCACAGACCTTTGAGGGGATTCAACCCTTACCTGCTGGAAATGGTAAGTATAAACTGCAAATGTTAAGATTCCATTATATTTTATGTAGAATGGTAATTAAATAATGTAAATAATTTTTTCTAAGAGAGTCATTATTAGGGTATCTATTGTGTTTATGAAAATTTATTAGAAATGATGATTTTTGAATTTTTATTTTTAGGTGTTAGAATATTTAAATGATCTGAAACAATATTGGAAGAGAGGATATGGGTATACCATTAACAGTCGATCCAGCTGCATCCTGTTTCAAGACATCTTTCAGCACTTGGACAAAGCAGTTCAACAGAAACAAAGGTAAAAACTTAAAAATTTGAGGTATATTCTGAGTTCGCTATTAAGTTTCATGAAAATGTTTTCTGAGTGATTTTTAAAAACAGTTTTTGCTTTTGTTCTAACAATTTCATAAGAGAGAATTAGATAATATATATGTAAGTTGTAAAACATGAAGTTTCCACTTAACCCAGGAAGTAGAATGTTATTAATATCTTGCATTTATTTATTTAGATTTTCTTTAGCTATCATATTTTCCTGCCCCCTTATCCTTCTGCACGCCTACATCCTCCTCTACAACATCCCCTAAAATGATCTTTTGAATTTTGTGTTTGCCATTCCTTTGCCTCTTTAAAATGGCTTTTATTATGAACGTATGTGTGTCCAAGCAGTATATTTAGTTTTGCTTGGAATCATACTACTTCTTGTCTTCTGGGCCTTGGCTGTTTTTTTGTTGTTGTTGGGTTTTTTGTTTTTTTTTTTTTAACCTCCTCATCATGTTATTGCATGTAGCTATAGTTTTTTCAGCACAACGTTCAGTAGTGTGAATTACTACAGTTTATATCATCTACTCTAGTCAGTAGGCATGTGAATAGTTTCTGTTTTTTTGCTATTATAAATAGTAATTATGAACACTCTTAAACATGGCTTCTGTTATGAATGTACAAAATACTTTTATTTTAAAAGACAGTTTCTAATGGAAAAGCCTGTTTACATTCATACCTTTTATTTTTTTTTTTTGGAGAGGTTTTTGCTATCGGGCGCGTGCGCTCACCAGCCAGACAGAGAGAGACAAAGAGATAGAAAGCGAGAAATCACCACCCAGACGGGATGGCCACACCGCAATCCGTTCTCCTCCATTCTCCTCTCGGAATCTTGGGCACACACACACACGCGCCCAGCATGAGTTTAAGCCACTGGGTCCGGGACTCGAACATGGTCGACTACGTGTGAGTCCAGCGACATAGCCATTATGCTAACTGCTGGTCCCTACATTCATACTTTTTAAGTTTTCTTTTTAAATATTTTTTCATGACTTGAGCCTTTGCTAGAAACTCAAGTCCATTTTATTTGACAGATAGGCTTCCATAAAATCAATTGGTGACAAAAATCAAGCTGTAGAAATGAAAGAAAAGACTAGAAATGGTGTGTTCCATGGTATTTCTAGTGCCATGTTTTATTTACGTAAATATGTTTTGTTTGTAGATGTAACTTTAGTTTGTGGAATTTTCTTGGGTTTGATAGGAATTGGGGAGAAAAAACAGGTGTTTTTATTTCTGCTAAAAAAAATTTCTGCGAGGACTTCTTTTAAGGCAACTATCTGCTTTGAGATAGGTGTTAACTTTTTTCCTGAATAATTGTTTGAATGATTTATAATTCTTAGACTTTATAAAATGGCAGATCTTTATTATATGTTCAGTGTTTACTGTCCCTTTGTCAAATATGAAGTATGGTAAGCTTGAAATTTGTCAGAGTTTTAAATAACTTTTGCAAAATTTGCTATTGTAATTTGATTCTAGATTTTAAAGCTTAAGTAAGAAGTTTATCATTGGTATTTTAAAATAAGCAAGGGGCTGGCCAGTGCCATAGGGGTAATGTAAACTCTGTGATGTTGAACCTCTGTGGGATGGTTCCAGGTTCACATCCCAAGATCTCCCTGTATGTATGCTTGTGTGTATATCTCTCTAGCTGTCTCTCTGGGAAGAAGTGAAGTTGAAAAATATATAAAGTAAGTATTTCTGTACACTGAAGTTTACAAAACATTACAAAGAGAAATTAAAGATAACTCAAAAATGAGGAAGTACCGTAGTCCCCCCTCCCCCTTTTCCCTGTTTTTACCTGTGTTCAAACTGCAGTCTGAAAATACTTCAGTATAGTACAGTAAGATATTTGAGAGAGGAAGAGAGAGAGGTGATATTGAAATAACTTTTATGATAGTATGTTATAATTTTCTATTTGATTATTAGTCATTGTTGCTAAACTCATAGTATGTCTAATTTATCAATTAAACTATATCATAGGTATATATGTATAGGGAAAAAAGCATAGGATTTTTTTTTTTGGAGAGGTTTTTGCTATAGGGCGCATGCGTTCGCCAGACAGACAGAGAGAGACAGAGAGACAGAAAGCGAGAAATAATCCCCCAGGGGGGGTGACCATGCTGCAATCCCTTCTCCTCCATTCTCCTCTGGGGATCTTGGGCACACACACACGCGCGCCCGGTGTGAGTTTTTTAAGCCACCGGGTCCAGAACGCAAACTGCGGTCGACTACATGGGAGTCCAGCGACATAGCCACTATGCTAACTGCTGGTCCTCAAAAGCATAGGATATGTTTTTGACATTTACAGTTTGACATTCACTGGAGATCTTGGAATGTATCTCCTGCAGATAAAAGAAGACTACTGTATACCATTTTTATGGATTTGAAGACCCAAATTGATAATCGATAGACAGTGTAAACCTATCAGAATCCAGTAAGTTTCTTTGTAAAAAATGAGAAACTAATTCTAAAATGTATACAGAAATGGAAAGGGCCTAGAAGAGGTAAAATAATTTTGAAAAAGAATGACATGCTTGTAATACTTCACTTCAAAACTTTAAAGTTGTAGTCACAGCTCAGTATAGCTCAGTCTAACAGAATAAAGACAAGAAAAGAATTCATTACGTATGGCAAATTGATTTTGTACAAAGACGCCAAGATAAAACATTTGGGAAAAGGATCATCTTTTCAATAAATGGTGCTGGAACAATTGGGTATTCATGTATTTTTAAAACTGACACCCAGACCTTAATTCACACTATTCACAAAAATGGATCATAGATTTAAATATGAAAAGTGAAAGAGTAGACCACTCTAGAAGAAAATATTGGAGGAATGATGCAAATAAAGTTACAAAACTCTCACAAGAAAATATAGGGGTAAATCTTCTTAACCCTAGATTAGGCATGGATTTCTTAGCTATAGCACAAAAACATGATCCCAAAAATTAGTAAGATGGACTTCATCAAGATTAAAAACCTCTCACAACAAAAGACACTACTGAAAATGAAGACAAGCCATAGACTTGGAGAAAATATTTGCAAAACATGTATGATTAAGGATTTGATTCCAGTATATGTGGAGAATTACAACTCACCATTAGAAATCCCAGTTTTTGAAAAGGGCAAAAGATTTGGACAGTCTTTGCTAATGAAAATATATAGCAAAATATATGGCAAATAATCACACGGAAAGATGCTTACCGTTAGTAAACATTAAAGACCCAGTGCCATACCACTAATATGTTGGCTAAAATAAAAGGACTTTCTTATGTTAACAGATGGAAAAGTGTTGAGCTGCGTTGTGAAATCCTTGGTTCTTTGGATCCAGATCACTAAAATTAGAGATCTGTCCCTAAGCGCAAAATGAAATTGCAACCACGAATGAAGTAGATAGAAAAGAAAGTTTAATAGAAAAGAAATGAAAGGAAAGGAAAGGAAAGAAAGTACACCCCAAAAGGTTGTTGGGCGGGCGGATTGCCAAGTGGCAACCGCGTTTGATACTGGTCAACCGTTATTCTTATTACTAGAGGTCATGAATATTCATTAGTGGGTGCCCCCTTTACGCTGCCTATGGAATGAGTTGTGAAGCAATTGGAAACCTACACTGCTGGTACAAATGTAACATTGTTTAGCTATTTTGGGAAAGTTTGGCAGTTTTTTGTTAAACCTAAGACTTAGCAATTTTGTCCCTAAGTATCTACCCAATAGAATATATAAGTGCTCAAAGATTTTATGTGGTTGTTTATAGCAGTATTATTCATGATAGTTAAAGACTGTAAACAGATCAAATGTCTATCAACTGATAAATGAACAAACATAATGTGGTACATCTATATGATAAAATACTACTCAGCAGTAAAAAAAGAGGGCAGATTGCTCATAGAGTGAACCAAATAGATGACTTCAAAAACATGCTAACTGAAAGAAGCCATATATATATAATTTATACATATATATAAAGATAAATTTATTTGAAATTTTTAAAAAAGGAAAAGTGGAGGCAAAAGCAGATTAGTGGTAGCCTGAGTCTGGAACTAGGAGAAGGGATTGACAGTACAGGGAACTTTCGGGTACAGAGAAATTTTTAGGGTGAATGAAGTGGTCTCAAACTGGATTATGGTGCAGATTACAAACCTAGCTGTGTACATTTGAAACATACATTCATTGAAACTTTGTAATTAAGGAGAATGAATTTCATGGTAGTTGTATAATACTTTAATTTTAAAAACAGTGTGAATATTTAATAAAAGGAAAAGGGGAAAATAAAAAAATGAAATCACTTATGATAAAAGTGGAAAAAACTTTGAAATAATTTACTAATTCAGAAAAATGGAATCTTTCCTTAAAGTTTTTTTTTATAAGATGACTTCACAATGTTTATGACATATAATTGAAATTATTAGTTCATTTCCTTGCCTTAATGTCTAATACATTAGAAAATAATTGAACTTTTGAAAAATTAAGGATCTTAACAGTCCCATAGGGTTACTATTTTTAAAAATAGTTGAATTGAGAAATAATTCATACACTGTGTAGTTCACCTGTTTAAAGTTTAGTGTTTCTAGTATAGTCACAGAATTATACAACTATCAGCACTATCTAACTTTAGAAGATTTCATCACCTCAAAAGGGAACCCCATGCCCATTTCAGGCATCCCCATTCCCTTAACCCCCTACACCCCTTGGCAACCATTAATCTATTTTCTGTTCTATGGATTTGCTTATTCTGGATGTTTTATACCAATAGAATCATAAAATATGTGGTACTTTTTAAGCCTACCCTGTTTTTTTTTTTTTTATCCAAATTCATGATACAGTACATGCATATGTGTGTGTGTGAGAGAGAGAGATGCACCTTCCATAGGGCACAGTCATGCCATGATCTCCTGCCTCCAGTATTCTAGTTCACTGCACATGTTTTCATGCTAGGGTGTGTACTCAAACAACAGTTAGCATGTGGCTTCCAGCTCTGCAGTCTAGT